TGCAACTGATTATGACTAGTAATAATCAGATACATACAGATTAGAGATGCATGCGCCAACATCTCAGTGTTAGTAGTACAAACAATGAATTTTTCTGCAAGGAACAGTATATTCTAAAATGAAATGGAGATCTTTTTTAAAGGTTAAAAACTCGTTCAATTTTATGTCTTACAGGGCTTATACTAAGTTCAATAATATATAACTGTATTAATTCAACTGTGAACCTAGAAACTTGCACCCACTTATGAAAGAGATGTACTCTTGCTCTGGAGTATGTTACTGAATATGTTAAAGTTGTAGTGAAATGCTTCTTCTAATCACGTAGTTATTAAAAATTAAAAAAAAAACTGAGTTAGAAGGGTGACAGTCTGTTAACGCTGAGCCTAACATCCAGGGGTTATTAAACCAAAATCCAGGACAGGCATGGGATAACTCTGAGTCGCTGGTTGAGGGGACCCTAGAGGTTCCCCAAACTATACAGACCCTTGCCATTCCTTTTGGCTGCCACCAGAACTAGCTGATAGGGCCCTATTGCTAGAAAATGCCACATATCTTGGGTACAAAATACAGAGAAATCAAACAAACTGACCTAGAAGATTCCTCCCTGCTGGCCAGCTTTCATGGTGCCAGAAGGTACAATACAGGCCTGTGGGAGAGAAAAGTTATCAATGGCCTTATCCAACCAAGAATCCTATAACTACAGCATCAATCTACCCGGTGTCATAAACCCACTGGTGCAATCATGGCATAACTGTTACAGGGACAACCAAGGGCTTGTTGATTGGGGAACCACGCCTAATATTGCAAACTTGGCTAAAAACCCATGGCTGAGGTCTTGGGCCTTGAGGGAGTAACTTACTATTGTTGTTTAACTGACATAGCATCAAGCTGTCTTCTAAATACTTGCTTACACCCATAGACAAATGCTCTCAGTCTTAATCAGTGAAACTTCTCTTTGCAATGAAAAGTGGCCAATGCAGACACGTGACTGCTCAAGATACTAAGAAGGTGCCGGGGTGATGGTACACACCTTTAATCTCAGCACTTGGGAGGCAGAGGCAGCAATCTGGGAGTTCAAAGCCAGCCTGGTCTATATAGCTAGTTCCAGATCAGCCACGGCTACACAGTAAGACCTTGTCTTAAAAAAAAAAAAAAAAAAAAAGTGCCAGTTGAGTGCTCAGTTCTCAATAGGACATTCATACAAGCCCTCTAAGGCTCCAGGAACAATGTGGGAGAGGGCAAGAAGAATGCAAGAGCCAGAAGATGGGCAGAAGAACTGAAATGCCATCCTGTGGGTATGGCACAGCCAATTCCATCACCTCGCAGGCTGCCCAGCAATGTGCCTGCACAAGAACCAGACAGTCTTGTCAACAATCATAGATCAGGAAGGGGTCCATGTGGCCCTACCCCTCCCTACTAAACTATGAGCTACTGATGGATTCTGAGGGAGAGGCAGACATTGTCTTGAGCTGGTGCACTCACCAGGCTCCAATGAATAGTACCAAATCCATGGTTATACAGACAGTTAAACTCAGTAGGTCACAAAGTATATGTGGGAAAGAGACTTGTGGGAAGGGGACAGGTAATGGGGTGCAAAAGAAATGAGTGGGTGAGTGTGACAGTAATCAGAACACATTATGTATGAAATTGTCAAAACAACAATTTTTTAAAAGTTTTTTATTATGTGTATGTGAGGGGAGGGGTCTGTGCACAAGTGCTGGTGTCCCAGGAGGTCAGAGGTATTGAATACCCTTGGAGCTGGAGTTACAGGTAGTTGTAAGCCATCCATTGTGGGTTCTAGGAATCAAACTTAGGTCTTCCCCAAGAGCAGTACACACTTTTTATCAAAGAGCCATCTATGCTCCAGCCCCCAAAAGAATGTAATAAAAAAAAGGAAAAGTAGATTTAAATATTGGTTCTGACTGGACATGGTGGTGCAAGCTTTTAATTCGGGCACTTGGGAGGAAGAGGCAGGAGGATCTCTATGAGTTCAAGACCAGCCTGTTCTATACAGCAAGTTCCAAGACAGCCAGGAATAGTGAGACCCTGTCACAAAACAACAACAACAAACCCACATTGGTTCCCAAATCCAATTGAATGTCAGAATCAGTGGAACTTCAAAACATAGAGAATAGAAGCCAGGTATGGTGATGTATGCCTATTTTCGAGCACTCAAGAGGTAGAGGTAGGTGGATCTCTGTGAGACTGTGAGGCCAGCTTGTTCTACAAAGCAAGTTCTAGGCCAGGTGGGGCTACAGGGAGACCCTGTCTCAAAAAAAAAAAAAAAAAAAAAAAAAAAAAAAAGGTAGAATGGGAATAACACAGCATACTTTTAAATTTATTTTTTATTTTATGTGTATGAGTGTCACGCCTGCATGTAGGTAAGTACACCCATGTCATGCAATGCCCACAGAAACAGAAGAGGCTGTCAGATCCCCTGGGACTAGAGTTACGGACAGTTGTTAGCTGCCATGCTGGGATTCGAACCTGGGTCTTCTGCAAGAACATTCAGTGTTCTTAACTGCTGAGCCATCTCTCCAGCCCCAAGATACTAATTTCTAAAAATATAATCCCAAATGATTGTCATGTACAGCATATTAGGAAGCCACAAGTCCTAAATTTTTTATTCTCAGTAGAGTATACCTGGGTACTGGATACAAACACCACAGAATCAATGTAAGAAGCATGTGGAAAGTGCCCTGGGCTCAAACCACCTGTAAAACATAGCAGGACAGTATCACCCCCCTTCCCAATCCCCAGAGCCATGCTGGAAAGCAAATGTAAACTACCTGCAAGCATGCTAGCTGAAGCCAACCTTCTAAGACACTACCAGTGAAAAGTGCAGAAAGAAGTACACCTTTCCCAAGGGTTAACAAGCTTTGTTACTCAGTGTTGTTACTGAAAGTGTAGAAAGAAAAGGAACCTCACACAGTTGGCAACAAAGATGCTGGCAAGGGCAGCACTGCTTACAGTCGCATTTTCAAAAGGTAGCTGGGAACACCATGGTACTGGCAAAGCGCTGTCCTTCCAAATAAACAGGAACTTTCCCCTTTTATTGTTCCATTGCTTCCACAGCAAGAGAAAAGGGATGAACAGCCCAACATCGTCATGCCACCTCTCCTGGCACGAATGCCGGAGATTCAGCCTCAAACTGCTCACCTTCGGAGCAAAAGCAGCTCAGCACGTGCTCTCTAGTCTGGGGTTCCTACATGCGGAAGGGGTTTAACGAATTCTAGAGTTCCAAGTCTCAGACCCATGGGTGAGAGCTACAGAACAGCCATACAGCAAACCACCCTCAGCTATGACTCCTAACCCAAAAGCAACTCACTTCATTAAAATGAAAACCCAAGACAGAGGTGGTATATGCCTAATTCCAGCTATGGGGAGGCTGAGGCAGGAGGATTACAAGCTTGCAGACATTCTGAGCTACATATGAAGACCCTGTCTCAACACACACACACACACACACACACACACACACACACACACATATACATACATAAAGCGCGCACACACACGAAAACTCAATACTTCTTCTAGGAATTCAGGCGCTCTCTAATATGTGAACAAAAATTGTATACAGAAAGGTTTGCTGTATCCTCCTAATCACAGAAACTAGATTCCACCTACAGCTCATCCAGTGAAAATGATCACATAAATTACATAATGTCTGAGCACAGGGATATGGACATCTAACAAAGCCTTCAAGTTGCATATTTTAATTTATTTTCTACCAATGAAAAGGATTAGTTACAAAAGGGAAGCTGTCTATACAAAGTAAGAGGTTATTTTTTCTCCCCTACATTCATAAAGAGAAGCCCTGATGATGTCTGACCTCGTAAAGTCAAAGCTCAAACAGCTTGCTTTGGTAAAATTACCCCAGAAAGACTGGTAATCCAGGCAAGACGAATAAATTCTTAGCTTCTTAACTATGTTTAAGAAAAAGAATTTAATGAGCATTTTGCCTTGAACTGAAAAGTGCTAAATACTTGCAGACCTGTGGAAAGACCAGTGCTCTTGGGTACCCAGCCTGGTAAGAGCACAGAAGACCCTCTTTTTTTTTTTTCCTTTGGTCTTTTTGAGACAGGGTCTCTCTGTAGCCCCAGCTGACCTGGAACTCACTATGTAGCCCAAGCAGGCCTGAACTCACAGAGATCCGCCGCATTCTGCCTCCCAAAGGCATGCACCACCCTCTCCCTCTCTTAACGGTAAAACTCCCTTCCAAACACAGCCTCTACCCTGAGCAGCGAGTGCAAGTGCAATATCAGAAGACTAGCTTCTGGAATTTTGTAAGCCATTCTGTAACAGCCACAGCTCAATAGGAGAACCTGATACTTTGGGTTCAGCCTCTCTCCACCTAATAGTTTATCATATAAATTAAATATGGAGAGGTACACCCAAACTTATGAAAAATGAGCTCTTTTTCAAACTCCCATCTCCTAATATAAGACACATGACAGTTTTAGTAAGAGAAAGACAATTCATACTGTTAGGGCCAAATGACCAAATGTTGGAAACTTGTTGATTTCACTCAAGGTGTGGCAGCCACTCCCCACTGCTCCCAGCAGTCTGCTTTAGAATAAAAGCATGAAGTGATTGTATGAAGCACTGTAGCCTTCAGAAAACTTTATTTAGTGACAAGCCAAGCTCTGCTGGCAAAAGCCCACCTACGAAAAGAAGTTGTGGGCATTAAAGTTCGTATGATTCACAAAGTATATACATGCATCACCCAAAATAATAAAGACCTTCAGACACAAATGACTTTAAAGTAATCAGAACCCCAAATTATGTGTGACTCACTCAGATGTGCTTATATTAGCCTTAAAAACTGATTACATATATCAAAAGAGCTGGACTTCCCCACAATTAACTGAAACACTTGACCAGAAAAGGTAAGGGACCAAAAAAGAAATAAAAAACTCTCCCCTCCACCAATTCAAGGACACATATCCAGAAAGAGAATGAAACAGAGTTCAGGCCTCAAGGCTTGTCTTGGCCAATGTGATTTGGGTCCTCCTTACACAGCACAACACAGCACAACTGCGCTGAGTACACAGAGTCAGCACACCCCAGAGGAAGCACAGAAGGCTCACACTTAACCCCATCCTGTGTTAGAAGCAACTCCACTACGGTTTTCATCACTTGGCTTAGGAAAAAAACCTCCTAGCAACAACTACTAAACCTCATTAACACCAGTCTAGGCGCCCACTGACTTCAGTAGTGCTTTTCATATAAAAATATCTGAAGAGGCGGTGAATGGCTGTAGCTGCTGCCAGGCTGACACATCCCCAACACTCTTCATCCACTGCTTCAGTCTTCTCCCCCATTGCTACAGTTCTGCCAATAAAGGGGAAACAACTGTGTGAACAAGTTCTTTATGACCAAGCTTTGGCAAAAGTCAATAAATAAGAGTTTCTTAAAGGCAAAACCATTCTGTGCACAACCCTTCAAGTTGCAACTTTGCGGGCTGGAAGAAGAGTGGGTGGGGCATATGTGTGAGAAAGGAAAGAATCCTCTTGACAGGATTTGGTTAGCCAACCCACTTGCTCAGCTCATTATTTAGATGGAAAGGGAGGAGAAGAAGACATCAGAAAAGGAGTCAATTTTGAAATCTGCATGGCTGATAATTTGTTCTTCATAGTGGAAAGGACTTGAATGGGAATCATGAAACTTGAGGAGGAACACTTGTATTTTCCTTCAAGGTTTAAAATATGCTGTCTTTGTACTGAAAGACTACATTCAGTGTGGGTCAGGTCCAAGAGCGACAGCAAGAACTTGGCCATCAGCACACCCAGCACTGGGAGGACACGTCGTCTGAGCAGAATGGCTGGTGGGCAGGCCTGGTCACTCCTCACTGGTCTCCAAGTCGGAAGCCCTGACCCCAGTTGTGTCTCCCGCCTCCACCGTTCTGATCAGCAGCTCGTCTCATGCTAGCAGGGGGCACACCGAACCCTGACACCCCGCCTCTCCTGCTGGGTAGCCAGCGATACCTGGAGTAAAGGGAAGAAACAAAGGTAGAAAGAACAAAGTTACTTTTCCACACCCTCCCCAACCACTCAGCACATCTCTCTCTCTCCTGGGTGTTCCCAGGGCATCTGTCATAGTGAAGGACAGAAACAACGCCTTATTTAACTTTCCTTTCAGCACTCAGCGCAATGCCCTGACCACAGATGGCACCTGCTTTTCGTGTTTTTTAACTTTAGCAAGCTTTCAGTTAAATCTACGCTCAACATTTTTTTTCACTGATTATAAAAGTAATTCATGCAGAGCAATATGGAAACGAAAAAGATTACACCAAGCCCAACATGCAGAAAGAACCACCGATGGCTTCTTGGTTGTCAGCGCATGGGTCAGACTGGATCAGAGAATTCAAAATGAATTCACTTTCAGAGGACAAACCACGGGTAGTGTGCTGAGCCCTGCAGAGCATTTCTACAAGCTCTCAACTGAGTCCACTGAAGAGCCAGGGCCAGAAGGCTTTCTGTCTTAAAGCTCTAGGTGGTTTTGTAACTTTTTTTTTTTTTTTAGGGGTCTCCCTGTAGCCCCCTCTGGCCTAGAACTCACTATGTAGGCCAGGCTAGCCTTGAACTCACAGAGATCTGTCTACCTCTGCCTCCCAGGAGTGCTGGTATTAAAGGTGTAAGCCACCACACCCGGCTTAAAGCTCTAGGTGGATATTCTAGTTTGCTCATCTCCTGCCTTCCAATTACATCCTTCCCATATCAGACGGTGGTGAAGCTGAGGTCCCAAAAGATTATATAATATCTCACCTTACCAATGAATAAATCAGGCATCAGAGGACAGCAAAGAAAACATCAGCCCAAGTCTTTGCTCTCAATGACATTCCAACATTTCTCTTCCCCACCTGTCTTATTAGTATACTGATGACAGATTTGAACCTATTTCATTTGCTGAATCCTAAAGTTTAAAATTTTGCTTGAAGGCAGAGAACACAAACTGATACCCCAATTTAAACACCTCTTGGCACCCAGACTATGTCACAACAAGGGACTTCTCACACAGGCACTTGACAGCACCACCTTATACTGAAGCAGCTACGATGAGCCTTCACTGTTCAAGGAGCATTTAGTTGACACCAGGCAGGTAGCCCTATGAGGCAGGGACTGCAATTACCCCGTTTTTGCTTGGGGGTTTGTTTTTTTCTTCCTTTTGGGTGCTATGAAGGTTCAATTCAGAACCTCAGGAGTACTAGGCAAGCACTTTACCACTGAGCTATACCCACAGCCCCCTTCTATAAATTTTATCTTGAGACAGGGTCCCACTAAATTGCCCAGGTGCACTTTGAACTCAAGAACCTCCAGCCTCAGCCTGCCGAGTAGCTGAGATTACAGGTATGTGCCACGGTGCCAGGCTATCACCCTTATTATATAAACAAGAAAACCGAGCAAAATTGAGTGAATTTCTTTAGAAAGGCTTGTCAGGATTCAAAGCCAGGCGCCCTGGCTCTGAGCTAGCACACGCACGCATCTCTATGTTCCACAGCTTCGGCAGGGGCAGGACAGCACTTAGCAGCTGGCATCCATTTCATCACTCTTAATACCTTCATGCTCTTTTCCAAAAAGCAGATCTTTCCCCGCAAAAAAGAATTTTTTTAAAACAGAAAATTAACTGTGTATGGATGGAAAAAATAAAGCTACTTTTTAAATTGAATTCAGAATACAGATCATTTAAAGTTTACAACTCAACTCTTCTATTTTAAATAAATATACATCCAGACATGGTGATGCACACCTGCAATCCCAGGACTTGGGAGGCTGAGGCAGAGGATGACAAATCCTGCCAGCAGGAGCTGCATAGCAAAACTCTGTCACTAAAAAAAAGATAAAAAATAAAACAAGATAGTTTTAACATTAAATCAAAGTGCCATTTTCAGACACCAAATTGTCAGTATCCATGACATTCTGTACAATAATATTCCTCCAAAGCACAGACTAAAACAGGACTTGGAAAAAGCACTAGGCTGTCTTGCTCTACTATGTACTCAAGACAATACAGAAGCCAGCTCCGTTGCTTAAGCGGAGAGTGGAACTAAATGCCAGTAATTAGAATAAAAAGACACCCAATTATACATAATCAACAAAAATTTATGGTAATTTCAAAGCAGTTACTGCTTTTGCAAGGAGCTACATTTTGTCATCGATCTTTATGCAAAATTTAGCAGCAGGGCTTCGTCCAACAGAAAAGCCTCAAGTAGAAGGCAGCTCCAGGGTGCTCCTGATTTTGCCACTAGAATCGTCCACACTTTTTTGTCCAAAATTCAGAAATATCTGTAAGCTGTGAAGTCAGAAAATAGCCATTTAAGGTAAAATAACTGTTGGCTGCCCCCCAAAGTACAAGCTTTTTTAAGCTGACGCATCTGCCAACCTGCGTGATAAACCTAGATCAGAAATCCAAACCTGCTGTTATTGTGTCTTTTGATAATTAGCAAACAGATTGGTCATTTGGGTTTTTTAGCCCTTTAGGCAACCCAAGGCTCAGAAGAGAAACAAATTTCTTTTAATTCTCTTAAAGAAAAAAATTACAGTTCACAATTAAAAAGTCTTCCACAAACACACCCCTAACCTGTACAGGGATGGGGGAGGGAACTACTCAAGGGTTAATTGTCTTTACCAACCCCTTAAAAAAAGACAGAACTGCCTACCATTAAAATGAGCATTAAAATGGGCTGGGGTCTTTTGGGTTTTTTGTTTTTGTTTTTGTTTTTTTTTAAGCTCTTAAACACCAAGTAACTGCTTCATATCCCTGACACAAGATTAGGTGATTGTCAGGCAGGCTATGACCCCCAATGGTGATTTAACTGATCCGTCTTTAACAGCCCGTGCTTCATTGACAGAACGGCCATGTCATGCACACACTCAAGTGTGGGAACGTCTCTTCTCAATCCCCCACATTAGGAACATGGCTTTTGTTAAGAACCCACCACTGAGCTGCCAACAATGTGTCTTGCTTCATCCAGTCCTATGAGACAGGGGCAGCCTCTCAACTAAGTCTTACAAACCAAAGGTTAGAGCAACTTCACCAGTATCAAAAGTAGCATACAAAGGAATGGCATTCACAACCAAAAAGCTGTTGCCTTGGCCTCTTTATCTTAGTCAACTACAAACACGAAGACCAAGCACCTACTGCCACAGAGCTGGGACTACTACACGAATCTCAAGTCTCTCATTTTAACTTTAAACAGTCCACAAAATTTCTATTTTGTAATATTTAATATAAGTAAGTTCAAGTCAGACATGGTGGTGGCATACCTATAATCCTAGCACCTGGGAAACTGAGGCAGGAGGTTAGAGAATCTGAGGCTAACCTGAGCGATAAGCAAGACCCTGTCTCCAAAAACAACAAACAAAAAAATAAAATTCAAATTTTAAAATTACAAACAATGAGCAAACTTACTTCTTTCTCAGCCAACATCAAGGGTAAAACTGATGTTCCCAGGGGGAAAAAAAAGCAGTGTATTCCCCTATGATGTCTGTCCCCAGCCCTGCTTGGCACTCTACAGTGACATCAAGTACACCACTGATCCCCTTTTTGTGATAGCTGCACCTAGCCAGTGGTGCCTAGCTAAAAGGATCCAGGAAGGAGACTGAGCTGTGGCTTCAATCCCTGGCTTCCTCTGACTGTGACCAGAGGAAGAACTTTATTGGCTCACATTTCTCCCTTAAAGGTAAACTGCCTTCTCATGAAACCCTATCAGGATACCTGAAACCACAGGACAGCATAAATGTCAACAAAGGGAAGAAAACACTTACAAAAACTGAGGTGTGGATAGAAAATTCCTTCCACCCAAGTCCATGGGGTATCTGAACATTAGGAAAAAATAAAGATGTCCAACAAGATTTCCAATTAGCTCATTGATCACCCTGCAAAGAGAGAGTCAAATCAGTACAAAGACATTCAAACACAAAGTGAGGTGCACCAAGTTGTAACTAACAGCATGGGAAAGAGACCCTTCACTGTGGTCCATTACAGCCCCTGGCAGTCAGTGACAGCTCTACAATGGGCCCTTTTACAATGTGAGTGACAAATGTATTCTGAGGGAGAGGGAAATCAGGCCTGATGAACTAATAAGGCCCACAGCTCTTCCAGGCCAGCAGACCCTCTGACATCTTTTCCAAGCCACCAGCCCATCCTCAAAATATAATTTTTGCTCCTGCCTGCCTCAGGAGTTGGGGAAGGTGAAGCACATTTGTTTCCAAGTTCTTTCTGTCATGAACAGCATTTGTAAAACAGGTGAGTATGTCGGCTACCAGAAGAGAAGCATGGGAGTGAGGGAAAGATGTACAACAGAGGACTGCGCTCCCATTCCTGCCTCTTATATCCTTGAGGGTGAGACACAGAGATCACGTAGAACAGCTGGCCTTTGCCCTACATCCTAAAATCAATGCAGACTGTCTTCAGGTTTCTCAGGGCTTATATAGCCTCCTCAAGAATTTTACGGTCACCTCAAGATCCACTGTTGCTATTACATGTCATCCTTTGGCTAGGAAAGCAGCTTTTACCAAGCTCAAAATACAGTACGTGCTAACAGTCTCTTTGCTTAATTCACTCACTTCTTATAAATACAAAGGAGGACTCAGGACAACACAGAGCAATACGTTGGACAAATGAGTAACTAGTACTACTAAAATCTATTAAATTCTTGAAAATATCTGGTAATTAAGAAATGGGAGTTGTTAGAACTATCTTTTATTTTTAAGTTTCTCAATTCTTTAAGATATTTTTAAGGGGCTGCAGAGATGGCTCAGTACACTGGCTGCTCTTGTAGAGGACCTAGGTTCAGTTCCTAGCACCAACATGACAGCTACCAACCGTCCATAACTCCAGTTCCAGGGAATCTGATGCCCTCTTCTGGCCTCCATGGGTGTGCTGGATAGCTTTAGTGTCAACTTGACACACCAGGGTTGAGGGAGCCTCAATTGGGGAATTGCCTCTATTGGACTGGCCTGTGGCCATGTCTGAGGGACATCTTGATTATTGACTGATGTGGGAGGGCCCACCCCACTGTGGGTAGTGCCACCCCTGGGCAGGTAGGCCTGTGTTGCATAAGAAAGCAAGCTGAGCAGGAACCAGGGGAGCAAGCCAGTAAACAGTGTTCCTCCATGGCATATGCTCCAGCTCCTGCCTCCAGATTCCTACCCTGAGTTCCTACCTGGGGCTCCCTGATGAACTGTGACCTGGGAGATGTAAGACAAATAAACCCTTTCCTCCCCAAGTTGGTAGTTGTCAGATTATTTTGTCACAACAATGGAGAGACAAACTAAGGCAATGGGCATTGCACACATGTGGAGCACTTACATCCATACAGACAAAACACTAACACACATAAAATAAAACTAAATTAATTGTTTTTAAAGATTTTTTTTAGAGAGTGTGTGTGTGTGTGTGTGCGTGTGTGTGTGTGCGTGTGTGTGTGTGTGTGCGTGTGTGTGTGTGTGTGTGTGCAAATTACAAGTGCCCATGGAGGCATCAGATCCCCGGTGCTGGAGTTACAAGCACTTGTGAACTTCTTGACATGGGTCTGGGAACCGAACTCTGTTCCTCTGCAACAGTACATGCTCTTAACCACTGAGCCATATCTCCAGCCCAAGAACAGCTCCATCTTGATGGTCTCTTTAAACTCAAATTGAAAACATGAAACATTTTCCTACATCTACAGTCTAACTCCAGACCAAGAAAGTAGAAATTTGACCCTGCTTGGTCAAAACTTTTACCATCAAACCATGTCAAAAATATGACAGTGGGCTGTTTGCAAGCAAGGCATTCTAGAAGTGCCTTAAAAATAAGAATGTAGCCAGGCGTGGTGGCACATGCCTGTAGTCCCAGCACTTGGGAGGCAGAGGCAGGCGGAGCTCTGTGAGTTCAAGGCCAGCCTGGTCTACATAGTGAGCTGGGGCTACAGGGAAACCCTGTTTCTAAAAAACCAAAAAAAAAAAAAAGGCTGCAGAGATGGCCCAGTTGTTAAGAGCGCTAGTTGTTCTTGCAGAAGACCCAGGTTCAAATCCCAATACCCACATGGTGGCTAACAACCACCTGTAACTCCAGTTCCAGAGGATTTGGACTCCCTCTTCTGACCTCCACAGGCACTGCATGACATAGGTGTACCCATATGCAGGCAATACATTCATATACATAAAATAAAAACAATAAAAATTTTTTAAAAATAAGGATGCAATGATCTTATGGATAAGGTCTTTTTGAATATTTATTATGTTTATGTGTATGAGTGTATTGTTTGCATGTATGTAAGTGCACCTGTGTCATGCAATGCCCAACAGAGGTTAAAGAGGGTATCAGATCCCCTGGAACTAGAGTTATGGATGATTGTTAGCCACCATCTGGGTGCTGGGAATCAAACCCAGGTCCTCTGCAAGAGCAGTCAGTGTCCTTAACTGCTGGGCAATCCCGCTAGCCCCATGGATAAGCTCTTAATAGGAAGACAAATTAGGTCTCAGACACAAATTAAGTCTCTATTTCCTCAAACTGGATATTGAACCCAAAAAGACATATTTATTCAAACAAATACATGTAGAAGCATAATGTAGCTAATGATTTAACAAAATTATAGCCACTTATTTCAAAGGTGCTGAAAGTCCTGCAATCTAACCAATTACATCAAAACATAACTATTCCCCAAGGTTCTAACACATCAGTTTTAAGATTCTTTAGAACTTTAAGATTAGAAAGAAGATAAAGATTAGTAAAAATTTTCCAAGGATTAGTTTCCAGATAAATAAATCTAGTATCACTTACGAGCCTCCAATGATATAGTTGAATCCAAGTATAACCCAAGGTAAATAACAGGCCTAGGAAAGAGTACACACAAATGTGAAGAGCCACACCTGACGATGACATGGCACTGAGGGACTGAGAATGGGAAAGGCCATGCTAACAGGGCCTTAAATAAAGATCAACTGAGCAGCACTCCTACCACTCAAAACTTCCTATCTAAAACCATACTCACTTGTTATACACTTGTAACTGTAAGGGCAGAGTCCCTTTCCATAGTTCAAATGCAACACTACTTAGTATTAAAAGAAGCAGAAAGTAGGCAAGTGTCTTATGGATGACAGCAAAAACAGCCCCAAACAGACTCAGTCTAAAACTCCAACCAGCCAACTCTTAAAATTAACTAACTTCTATTTTTATCTAATATTACACATTGACATCTTGAACTAATACTCTCCCAACAAGACATCAGCATTCTAGATGAATCTGACATCTAAGACCTATACCAAACTCAAAACCTCACTGTAAAGGCTGAAGGTTTCAAGGAACTTCACAAACTAGTAAAAAGAAGGCTACATATAAAGAGCTTACAGCTGTGTGAGGTGAGTTCTACAAAACCGTGCTGATGCTCAGAGGACTAGAGAAGTAACAATGGCCAGCAAGGAACACTGGGATACCTAAGAGCTGAACTAAAGCGGGGAGCAGGGGGCTTGCCTATGCTATACTGCTCTGCAGTGACCTCTTCTGGAAGTGTCGGAAAGTACACATCTGGGCTCAAAGAGGAGTACTACAAAGGCAAATTAAGTTTTGCTTCACTACAGTACCTTAAATCGTGTTCCAAACCAAAATGATACAATCAGGTCTCTGTTCAGCTGGGCCCAGACATAAAGTACTGACATGATCAGAGGAATCATCAGCAGCTGCAAAAGAAAGCAACATAAAAACCTAGGCTCCAGCAGAACTTAAAGAGGCTCAGCAGCAACTGACTGTGCTTCTTACCCTGCCCTCCAAACAACTGAAAAGGAAACTCAAATGATTAGAATCACAAATTGATCCTATATAATGAGTGCTACAAAATTCCCTTACAAATACAATTATGTTATTTTTAGATAGATTCAGAAATGACAGTTCAAGCTGTTATTTGCAAAAACAGGTTTTACTTAACCATATAATCTCAATTTTCAAATATATATCCTCACAATCTAGAAAATACTACACAACCAATTACTTTCGATGCTTAAGCATACGCCAGAAATGAGCAGGCATAGCACTGATTTCAATAGCTTCTACAAGAACCTCAACGGTTTAGCTAACAGAACCTTCAAAATAACAGCTGTTACCCTACTGTAAGTTCAAAACACCAGATAATTGCTGGGTCTACAAAGTGAGTTCTAGGCTAGCTGGGGCTACATAGAGACCCTGACTCAAAAAACAAGTAAACAAATAAACAAAAACCCAACCAGATAATTAACCACACAGACAACATGATCGCATCTCTGTCAAAGGCTTTTAATTCTAAATCAGAACATAAAGGGCAAACAGTTTAAAGGGATACTTACCTGCATATCCATTGCTAAGCCAGTAATCTTAATTTGTACAGTTAAAGATCATATATTAAAAGTTTTCTATAGCTATCAAGGTTGGTCTGGTTATCGCCCAAGCCCGGTGGAATTTCATTCCACTGCTCCAAAGGAAATACCTTTCTATCATTCAGATTACTTAAGGTGTTGGAAAAACACAAAGGTTCTGACAACTCATCATTAATATTCCATTAGCCTGTACAACCAGGAGACAGAAATAAACAACTTCAGCAAGACTTGGTCACCTGGTATCCACTTTCAGTGCCCTGCCACTGTTAGCATCTCTCTTACTGGTAGAGGATGGAGATATCTATGCATCTGAAACAAATAATGACTCTGCTCATGCTCAGGGATTTACAGCATGAATGAAGTCCATCACTCACACACACACACATACACACACACACACACACACACACAAACACGCACACATGCGTGCCATCAAGTTTCTTCTGCTGTTCTCACCATCTCTAAAAGCCCACGGTTGGCAGGAGGTGACAACACTAACTGATAGCAGAGAAATTAACTGTGGGGTACCTTACAGAGGGACTGAATTTTTATTCAGGATCCCAAAAGATGGAGAACAATGAAATCAGAAAATATTGCTGGTTGTAAATTAATTTTCTGAGAAGCAGCACACAGATGTCAAAGGCTGTCTCATAGCATGGAATCTCTCTGTGTGTCAGTCAACAAGCTGTCACCCATGCGGACAGAGGACTGGGAACAAGAAAAGAGAACAGCAATGAGACTCAACCAAGCGTGGAAAAATCCCAGAGGCCACAATGAGATGAAGCATCACTTAAAGCCTATAGGGTTTATTCTAACCTTTAAAAAACAAAAATCTCAATTATTCTTAATTATTAACTGTAGTTTTAAAAAGGTGTAAAAATGATGACTTGATTTTTTTTTAATATAATACTATTTCCCCAAACAGGGAGGGGGCTCATTCTGGTCCAAATTAGCACTGAAGGATACCACGATGCAAATCCAGTTGAAGAGAAGCATGAATAAATAGTCTGCTGGCCTCCCATCAAAAGCTCCTGGAAACGAAAACAAGCCACATGTCAGGATTCAGAACTGTGGAAGAAAGCAACATCTAAGAAGAAAAACACTTCCAAAAAAACTGTATAAGAAACCCAAACGAAAATATTTTAAATCACCTTTTAAGAAAAGTGAATTTTACAAACATCTATATCATGGCAATAAAACCCTGAACCAACGGTACCTGAGTAAGGTTAGTTATGCTCTCTTAACTGACTTCCAGAAAGCTACATGCTCCAGCTGCCATGAGCTAAAACAGATCTAAAAGAGGACAGTGAATTCCATAGTCACAGAGCCTCATCCCAAACACTAGTGCAGCCCTTCAATTCCCTCCTGGCCTGCTGCTCTTTCCTTCGTGGGCCTATCATAACCTAATGGGCACTTTTGGTACTTGGTTAGTTTCTGTCTCTTACTTCTAGATCAAAGCTTGTTAGAAAGGAGCCTTGTTCATTTTGGCTCCCACTGTGTTTTCTACAGTGTGACTATGCAGGAGCCTACTATTGCTAAGGATATTAACAGTTGCTATTGTTCCTATTACTACTAGACACATGCACAGTCATGTGTCCAGCCCTGGGCCGAGATTCTGCACAGTTCCAGTCTCTGGATTCCAGGATCTCACATTTTAGGGCAAGGGAAAATGATGTGAAGAAGGCTGTACAAATGAATGGCCAGTCCTTCCACAGACTGACTCTCCTTATACTGCATCTGTGAGGTACAATAGAAAGACCTCTGATCTCTCATTTACAGGGGAGAAAATAAAGTCCCATGGCCTGCCTGAAGTAGGTAGAGCCTAACAACTAGTGTACAGCTCCTGTCACTGCACCATTGACACAGCTATTTATTACTAGGCAGAAAAACCAAAATAGCCAAGTTCTCTATTCTGAGGACAACTCCTAACACCTTCAGTCAGAAGAATTTAAGCAAAGCAGAGAGAAGAAATAGAAATGACTATAAAGTCACTCTAGCTCAACAGCTACTTCACTCTCCCACCTCCTCTCCATGCACACACTCTACCAGTTACAGGACACAGGTAGTCAATTCTTAAAAACCTCTAAACAACCATCAGAAAGAAAGGATGAATGGCTCTGAAAGAGAAAGCAAACAGAAGGATCGGTCTGTGATGTATGTAATCCCAGCACTAGGGAAACTGTAGCAGGAGGATCAAAGTTCAAGGCCAGCCTGGGCTATACATAGAGCAAGTCCCTATCTTAAAACAGAAGATGAAAAAATAAGTGAAGAGAGGTTTCCAGCAAGTCTCTCCTCCTCTCCTTTTTCCTTGTCACCTCAAAGGCACACCAGTCAGTGTTAAGGATACTTAATGCTAGAGGATCACTGTGATGAATCAGAGCTGAGAGTCCAACAAAACTTCTGAACTGAGTGATAACTGCACTTCTTTTGTGTGGTTTTGGCTCTGTGATTTCTAAGGATTCTTTAGATTGAGTACTTAAGATACTGTAATCACATAAACTACAGTGCTGTCTTCTTCGGCATGCTAGCAACTAGGAATTTACAATTAACTGGTCTCAAATTGCAGTCTTCCAGTTCAAATCAGAAACCTCTTAAGCCAACACTGCTATGTACTTAACAATTTAGCCAGGAGGAAAATATGCAAGTAGCACATTAACCTGAGGCTGTGGAGTGGAATGACTATGAAGAATCAGTAAACCTGGGTTCCATTCCCAGGTGTATGATCTCAAATAGCTCTGCAAACTCTAAGACACATGGCCACTGTGCTGGACAACTGTTTTTCTATCTGTGAAATAACAGGGTTAAATACAATAATCTTAAAGCGTCCTCTCAACAGTAATGGTCACAACAGCATTAGCTGTAATAGCCAAAAAATGTAGTGAAGTCAAGTGCCCATCAACTTAATGCACGAACAGACGGTGGCATTATCTACATAATGGGATCTATTTGACAATAAAGAGGAATGAAATACTCCCCTGTGCTATACAGAAGAACCTTGAAACATTATGCTAAGTGAAAGAAGCCATTCATAAAGGCCATCTACAGTATGATCCTGTTCACTAATTACTAGTACAGGCAAACCTAAAGAGGCATAAAGGAAACTGGAGGCTTCCTATGGTTTGCGGGAGAGAGAGTTGAAGAAACAGGCAGTGACCAATTATAGGTACACATTTTCTTTTAGGAGTGAGGTAATGCTATAAATTATGATAACAATTGTACAGTCTATATGCCTACTAACAACTGAACTGTGCCCTTTAAATTGAAGTGAGGGAGGTATATGGAATGAACTACTATTCTCCCTTGGTGTCCATGGAACACTGGATCTCGGAACTCCCCTGCATACTAAAAATGAAATGCTCACACTCCTTATAGAAAATGGTATAGTGTTTGCACAGAACCTATACATACTCCCATATACTTTAAAACATCTTTAGGTTACTTACGATACCTCATTCAATGCAATTCTACATAAATATCTGTGTTTAGGAAATAATGACAAAAAAAAACTATACAAAGTACACATTCAGTATTTTCAACGTGCAGTTGGTTGACTAAGAATGCAGAACCCACAGATACAGAGAACAACCATCTATCTCAATAAAGCTGTTTTTAAAATGCCTCTCAGCTTGAGCCCTTCAATATGCTCTGTGACTGGAGAGGAGAGCATCTTCTAATAATAAAAGGAAGCAGTAAGAGACCAATCACCTAATAACCCCATAGATTGTCTTCAATGTGCAGAACTGTATTACAAATTGGATTGTATTACCTGACCAAATTAATAGAGTAAATGGATTCAAGAACTTAAGTAAACAAGAGATAATAAAAGTTTTATAAAAGGTGGTCATGAACTATCACAATTCAGATTTAACTCAAAAATACTATTAGAGTGATTCCTTAAGGATACTGAAGTATTTATGAATGAAATAATATCATACCTGACATTTTGCCTCTAGTAATCGGGGGAGAGGCATGGATACAGATAAAATAAGACTTGCTATAACTATTAGGGGTGGGTTAGAGTCAAACAGAGGTTCACACTGACACACAGCATGAGTGAATGTTGGCAACAGTAAACTAAGTGACAAAAGACAAAAGCTAGTCTCAAAAGGCCATGTGAAAGCAATACACACAGAAAGCAGATTAGTGGTGGCCAGAACCACACGCGCGGGGGGGGGGGGGGGGGGAGCAACTGCTTTGAATTTATTAGAGGGGGAGTGATGAAAATATTTTGAAATTAAACTGTTGTGATGGTTATGTAACATTACGAACACTAAAAACAACTGAATTGTATACTTTAAAACAGTTAAAATGGGGGCTGGAGAGATGGCTCAGCAGTTAAGAGCACTGACTGCTCTTGCAGGGGACCCAGGTTCGAGTCCCAGCACCCACATGGCGACTACAAACCGTCCTTAACTTCAGTTCCGGGGGAATCTGAAGCCCTCTTCTGACCTCTTCATGGCATTGCATGACACAGGTGCACTCACATATGTGCAGGCAATACACTCAAACACATAAAATAAAAATAATTAATTTTATGTTAGATGAATTTTTCTCAATAAAAGGAAAAAGGGTCATTGACTTTTTTCATTCCATAGTCAAAGTTTTACTACCCGATCATGGAATGTCCATACTTCATCTAGATTGACTATACTGATACTGAAAGTAAGAATCACTCCAACTTAATTATCTACTTAGTTATGCCAGAAGAGTGGAATGTCAACGACCTGACACCACTGCCAGGAACTGAACAAGGGAAGTGGAAAAACTGTGGGGTCTGGGAGACTAGAGGAGGGCCAGAGGTGGCAGGCAGAGGCTTAGTGTCAGTTGTCCATTTCCTTGGCCAAGTTACTTGACTACTTCCTTGAATCTCTTCTTTTTTCTTTTTTTTTTTTAAAAACAAAAACAAAAACAAAAACATTTATTTATTTATTTTGTATGGGGGGGGGCAGTTGTTTCTCTCCTTCTACCATGTGGGCCCCAGGGATTGAACTCAGGTTGTTAAGCTTGGCAGCAAGTACCTTTACCTGCTTAGCTACCTGACAGCTCCAAATAGCTTGTTCTTCTGCAAAGAATGGTCTAGGATTCTACCTTATGCTTTGTATTAATACAAAGATTTCTTTAAAAAGAAACAAAAACAAGAACACACCATAGCAACATCAGGTTAAGAAGTTGTATTTGGCACTGAATATCCATCCCACTATATCCCTGCAGCTATGAAACTGACTCCAAATGTTCAAATGCACAGGCAGACTTAAGACTTAAGGGTGTTCAGAATCCTCTAGCCTGAGCTAAGGAAGAACCAGTAGGTTTACACAATCTCTGAAATCAGCCAACCTTTGCAAAATCATTTAAGAGTAACAAAAGCATACTTGTATTTGACACAGAGTATCAGTTGACTGCTTCTTAGTATAAGCAATTCAAATAGCACATAAGGCACTGTAGGAAATAAGTAATTCAACAAGATACTTTTAAGAAAATACCTTATTACTTATTCATATCAACCAAGTAATTATATCTGATGTTACCTTCTTACGCAATAAATACGACTATATAAGGTTGAGTGAGGTTTTGTGTGTATGCATGTGATGTATGTGTGTATACACCTATATGTATGTGTATGTGCATGTACATGTGGGTACATGTGGGTGCATGTGGGTGCAAGTAGAGGTCAGAGGTCAACATCAGTGTCTTCCTCCATCTTATTTATTCATTTATTTAGCCTAAATGTATGTTAAGTACAGCATGTGTATGCAAAGCCCACAGAGGCCAGAAGAAGGCATCAGGTCCCCTAGACCTGGAATTGCAGGCAGTTGTCAGATGCCTGCTCGAAACTGAATCCAGGTCCTCTGCAAGAGCAGCCAGTATTCTTAGCCTCTGAACCATCTCTCCAGCCTTGTCCACCTTATTTTTTAAGAGAAAGCCTCCCACTGAACCTGGAGCCCATCAATTGGCTAGATTGGGTGAACAGTGAGCCCCTAGGATCCTCCTTTCTCAGTCTCCCAATACTGGGATTACAGGTGTACACTGCCACACCCAGCTGCTTTAACATGGCTGCTAAGTATCTGAACTCAGGTCTTCATGGTGCACAGAAAGCACTTTACTCATTAAGTCATCTCTTCTGCCCCAAGTTGAGCATTTTAATCACAGAGTAAGTTTAGGCTTTGAATTACATAAACTAGTGCTTTACAACCTCAGTCTGAGAGATATACACTCTAAGCCAATTTAGGATTAAAAGACAGAACTGCTCTGTGACAGGCATGGGTATGAGAATACAGCCCAGGCACTATAAGGTAATGGGGAAGGCATATAACATTGTGGTCTGCCATTTGTTCTGTCTATGAAATGGAATGGAATACTGCTGCTACTTTACCTCTCGTAATGGAATTAAAAATCAAACAATCTAAGTGACTAATAGTCTTGGCCCAGTCAGCAAGCAAGAACTATCATTATGCATTTCTTTATGTTAATGGCTCTCAAAATCCAAGGAAGTAAACATACCAATTAATAAGTTAGAACATAAAACAATGATGGATAACTTACCTGCTTCAAGTCGTGTAGAATACTGATATAAGAAATATAAATTGACCAAATAAAGAAATCCAGTTCCTGGACCCACGGGGAAATAAAAGGTGGCAGTGAGTGGCCTCCATACCTGGAAGCGGTAGAGAAAAGCTTCAGGCCAGAGGAAGAAGTAGGCCGGGATTTTTTTTTTTTTTTTTGAACTAAACAAAAATCAACCTTTGCCAAGCATTCTTTTCAACAAGAGTTACCAAAGCGACACCATAAATGCAATTCAGGAAAACAAAGGAAAGGTTCTTACCAACTTAAATAACATCAATTTATAGATCAACGGACTCAAAGGACACCATAAATAAGTAACAAATATTTCTAAACAAGTTGAAAACAAAACTAATATAAAATGTATGGTCTTTCCTAAGATGAAGCACACAGCTAGGCCTGTGTCACACTCAAATCCTAGAAGTGAAGCAGGGTGTTGTGGCACGCACCTTTAATCCCAGCACTCAGGAGGAAGAGGCTGGTGAACCTTTGAGTTCCAGGCCAGCCTGGTCTACATAGAAAGTTCCAGGCCAGTTAGGGCTGCATAGTGAGACTCTTGTCTCAAAAAACAAAAATGTGCTATTAAATAGGTCATATGGTCACATGGCTCAAAACATAACCCCCTCGGAAAAAAAAAAACAAAAACAAAAACAAAAAAAAACACAGAAGAATAAATATGAAGAAGGGGGTTCCTGACAATCTTCCAATCCAGCAACAACTAATTAGATTCTTGGGGGGACTGAACTCAGGGCCTCCCACATGTCAGGCAAGTGCTCTAGCAATGGGATTCAGCTCCAGCCCTCTTTTTACTTTATTATTTTGACAAAGGGTCTCACTACATTGCCCAGGCTGGCCTTTTACTCACTCTGTAGCCCAAAGAATCCTTGAACTTTCAATCCTGCCTCAACCTCAAGTTACTGGATTAGACCTGCCGACATCAGTTTTTATTGTTTTGTTTTTGCTCCTGAGACAAGGTCTCATAGCCCAGGCTTTCCCAGAACTCACATTCTGTCTCAGTCTCCATACCACTGAGTGCTGAGGTTCCAAGAGTACACCACCATGCACAGCCCATTTTCTAGATCATTTTACCATTATTCACCCTTCTTTACCCTACTTTTAAATTTTTATTTTATTTATTTATTTGGCCTTTTTGAGATAGGGTCTCCCTATAGCCCCAGCTGGCCTGGAACTCACTATGTAAACGAGGCTGGCCTTGATCTTGCAGAGATCCACCTGCCTCTGCTTCCCAAGTGCTGGGATTAAAGGTGTGTGCCACCAAGCCTGGCTTCACCCTACTCTACAAAGCAGTTTTATATCTTCAATTCCCTTGACAAAATATTTTATTGGTTTCATGGTATTTCTTCATGTGGCTTTCCAAACTTCATTCAAACTGTTATGATGTCACAATGAATATTCTTGTATATCCTACACACACACACACACACACACACACACACACACACACACACACTCTCTCTCTCTGAGAGAGATACAGAATAAATGCCTGTGAATCAATCTGTTAGATCAACAGACATATGTACTTATTTTGGTAGGTGTTGCCAAATGTCTACAGAAATGTTAATTTATACTTCCTCCTAAAATGTAGCTGAGTGCCATCTTTCTCTACACATACCATGGAAGATATTTTACATTCACTAATCTAAAAATTAATTTTTATTTGTTTTGAGAAAAGCTGAGCATCTTTTCATATTTTAAAAACTTTAGCATAGGCTTTATCCATTTCCTGAATAGATTTGCATTTCTTTATATATTATAGAAATGTTGCAAGTGTTTCCCACTCTGTCATTAGACATGCTTTTACGGTATTTTTTTTTCTTGCTGTATTTTACAACATAACAACCATCCATCACTATCATGCTCACAAAACCTTTTCTGAAGCTTTCTCCATGAACAGAAATGTTCACTTCTACTGTAGCACTTACAGACCACCTCAGAAATGAGAAAGAGATCCAAGTTATTTTTCTAGATGGTCACTCTGTTTTCTGGTCTCCACTCACAAAGCAACCACATTTTCTCCAAATACATGAAAGCTACTTTCACTGAATATCCCCTTTACTTTAAGGTCTTTTAGATTAGATAATTTAGGACTGAAGCCTATACCAAATTATTTTAATTTCTGGCTTAATACATTTTAATATCTGATAAAGTACTTAAATAACCTCTTTGCCCCCTTTATTTCACATTTACTTTTCCTAGCTAGTCTCAATATTTTATTATTCTAAGTAAATCAAACCCAATATTTTTATTATATATCAATGTGATACTAACATAACTTTTTATAACTTTCATAGTTTTGAACAGATCTTTCTCTTTCTCCTTTTAAACTCAACCAATAATGGTGCATGTGACATTTGGAAGCTGAGCCTCAGAGCTGGAGAGAGAGCTCAGTGGTTAAGAGTACTTGCAGCTCTTACAAAGGACATGGGTTCAGTTCCCAGCACCCACATGGTAGCACAAAACCACCTCTAACTCCAGCTCCAATTGATCTGGTGCCCTTTTCTGGACTCCTTGGGTTCAAGCCCCTCCCAATGTATACATAATTTTTTAAAAATAAAATCTTTATAAATAAATAATAACTTTAAAAAAGAAAATTGAGTCTCTTGTCCTTCCTAAGCATATAACCCTATCTGCAAATAAAATCCTGTATCTTATTTCATTCTCATCCAATTCACTGGCTAATACCTCCCAAGCAATAACAAAGAGTAAAGTGATAGCCTCTTAGACTTTAGGAAACAACACTGATGATCCTGGTCTTTGACTTAAAAGCTATGTGTGTTATGACCCATTATCATGTGCCAAGTATGAACGTCATGGCTTACATCAATCATGGGGAAAAGGAACAAAAGCTGGCACAAGGGAGGAAAGTATACTCTCGGCACAAAGCCCCAAAGAACTACAAGAGCACAATAAATACAAAGTGCCACTAACAACGCAGGTATGCGGGAATGGAAGACATCAGCAACAGACCCTCCAGCTTCAGAGCTTCAGAGCTTCCAAGCCACATTCTCCATGTGTAGACATACAACCTTCAGAGCTTGATTCTCTGTGGAGGAAAAGACCCTGGACATATCAAAAGAGGACGTTCCAAGAACCCAGGATTAAACCAATAAAACAGGGCTGGAGAAATGGCTCAGTGGTTAAGAGGGCTGGCTGCTCTTACAGAGAACCTGAATTCGGTTCCCAGCCACACATGGTGGCTAACAATTGTCCATAATTCCAGTTTCAGGGGATCCAATGCCCTCTTCTGACAGGTGCACTTACATAAATGCAGGTAACACACTTGTACACATAAAATAAAAAAATATTTAAACCTGTAAAACAAAACAGGTTAAGATTCACCCAGATTTATTCACAACTCATAGAAGCAGTACTGTCTAACGAAAAGGACACTGCAGAGGACCTGTGAAGCCCTGAGTTTAAGTTTCCACTGACAAGTTACCACCCCTCAGCCTCAGTTTCAGAGTGTAAAGGGAGATCATACATTACTACTACCCTGCTTGGGTCAAGTTTTCATTGTTTTTTTTGTTTTGTTTAGGAGTGCTGAGGATGAAAGCCAGGACCTTGAGCATGCTGGACAAATTTATAACCAATTGACTTGTACACGTCCTCAGAACTTCACTAATGTTTTAAAAAAAAAAAATGAGTGTGCTACTCAGTTTATTTACATGCAGTAATTGAGGAGATGGGTTTTATAGATGAGGAAACATAATAAAAGGTTAGGTAATAGCTAGTACCTGATGGAGCTAGAATTCTGTCCAAGTAGGACTACAGAATTTGTAATACAATGCCTCAAAAGTGACTTCATTATTACAATTACAATTAGTGAAGATTTTCAACACTATTATCTTTGTATGATCTGAAAATGAACTGAGACTAACCCTATAAATTCCTTCTCCCTGCTTCTCACCCCCTGAGAAAAGCACAGGGAGTATAACCAGGAGCAAGCGCCCAGCACCTCTGAAATGGCTTTCTTCACCTAGCCAGTAAATTTGTACTGGGACTCCTGCCTTCATTTTTCTCACAGAGGGCTTGCAAAAGGCTGAAATTAAGAAAGCAGATTTAAAAGGAACTTTTCTAAAAATGTACGGTATCTACCAGAGTGTGCTACTATTACAACCTTTCCATAGACACCCACTGACCTGGTTTTTAAAAATTCACATTTCAAATACTCCCATATTCCCGAGAGCAACTCAAAGCCTGATTTTAAAAAAGAAATCTCAAGGTTTTTTTCCTGACTACATTTTCTCTAACGCTGATGACACAACACTATTTTTAGCCACCGTGCACACCTGTTCTTTAGAAATCAGTGTCTGTCAAAATATCTCACTTCTCTTCCCTGTTCATTAAGCTTAACCTTGAGTTATACTTGCTTTCATTGATCTAAGAGACTAATATTATTTTTGTATTACTTTAAAATTATAATTTGAACTCACTAGGCACTGAATCTGTTCAGAAGAGTACAGTGCATATTTCTGAAATCCCAACAGCCCCTTCTTTACTCTAACATGTAAACAGGATAAAGAAAACGTTTTTCTCTGCAGGGCCATGAGTAGAGACACATTTTCAACTCTGGAAACTCAAAGGAGCAGTCAAGTGTAGCACAAGGAATCTAGGACCTATAGACAGAAGCAGGCCCTTAATAAATGCAGTGGGGTTTTCTTGGGGGGGGGGGTCCTTTTGGTTTGGTTTGTGATTTTGTTTACTTTTTTTGTTGTTTGTTTGTTTGCAACAGGGTGTTATTTGGTAGCCCTCCCTGGCCTGGTACTCACAGTGCAATCCAGGCTGGCCTTGAACTTGTGGTCATGCCCCCATCTCAGCCTCCCAAGTGCTAGGATGACAGGTGTGTGCCACCATGCCCAGCTATAAATGCAGGGTTTGTTTTTAGTTTTCAAAAGGAAAACCAGGCCCTACTTAAAGAGTTTAGGTAATCTACCCAGAGTTCCTCATTTAACAGTAACATTAGCCAACATGTACACGGGCACATAAACCCCTCAAAAAGACCTATTATTTGTAGTTATTCATCCAATAACTTATCAGAGAACAGGTTATAGCCATTTCTTAACTAAAATGTCC